AGACGTGAATATGAAAAATGTCTCTCGTGCCCCCGCCCTTTTCCCCCCCCCCCCCCCCGCTAACATATAAAAATACGTTTTCATATTTTAACCTTTCAAGTCTTCATTTTTTCAAGTCAAGGGAACAAACTATATACTGCAATGATTCAGTTCTTCAAATTAATTCAAGCATTTTGTGAGTCATAGAAACTGTCAATCCATTGCATACTGTTTTCCAACTTCATAGGATCCAATGAATAATTTCCCTCCACCCGCCATGTTTTGTTATACTAATTTCTTGTCTAACTTCAATCTGAACACAATGGTAGGAGTGAAAGGTGACTCAAGTCCAAAAAACACAGCAGCACTTTAGCCAAAGTGTATAGCGTGGGATGAGGAGCGGGGTTATACTTAACCTAACTCTTCCCATGGCTGCTCTCACAACACTGTGAACATCTTCAGAAAAGTTCCTGTCCTCTATTATTTACAAAAAGCAGCCGTGTACCTTTTCTCTGAAGAACCTCACACCAGGAGAAATGATAAGAACATTCACAATCAACAGATGAAATGATGAAATAAACCACAATAATAATATCTCTTGTATGATCTCCCATCAATACTGTTCCTTTAGAATTATCTTAGAAAATCATCACTTGCGATTTATTATTCCACCTCCAACTCCTTTCCTGTGTGTTTCATTGTAAAAATGTCTTTCAACGTTTCAGTGAGGAAGAAAGGAGATACATACCACTCCAGCAATCAAATAAAGATTATGAAGGAGTCAGCTTGTTACACAATTACCTCTCTCTAGTGATTTTTATACTAATATTAAAAACAAGACCCTTTAAAAAAAAAGAAAGAAAAAGGAGCCAGGGGGTGGAGGGTGTGAGAGAGTTTTTTCTGGTTTCGCTAATAAAAAAAGCAAGCTGTTTCTATTTAATATGAGGTTTGGTAGCAATGGGCTAAGAACAACCAGAACTTACTGCCTTCTACCTAGATGTACAGGAGAATCAAGTCTATTTCCAAAGAAATAGAAATGAATTTCAAAGGAAGAAATATTATATGGCTATTTCAGTTCTCAGTTCAGCAGATCAGCACTCAACACTACAGCTGACATCATATTTATGAATGCTTAAATGTCAGTAAATTGTATAAAAACAGTATCTCTGCAATTTATGAATCTATAATTCATTTTTTCAGTCTGCTCTGTATTTCATCACTTCATAATTTTCAAGAGAGCAAACATTCTGAAGACTGAAATTATATGTAGCAAGTGGTTCTATATGAGAAAAAGGTTGTTATTGTTGCATCAAATTTACTCCATGATAACAAATTAGGGTCTTCTACTGGTGCTGCATTTGAATGCCTTAAACAAACAAAAAACCTCCACAGAAATGAGATAGAAGAGCAAAAACTATAAAGCAGCAATTATGTTTTTAAAATCAGTTGATTTAACCAGGTCAGGAAGTCAGGTGGAAAGAGTAGCAAGAGAATTCATTATTCTATGAGACATGTTCATTTGGACATTAACATCCCCGTTGTTCTTTCTTAGCCCACCTTGAAAATTCATCTCGGTCAATGATGTGTGCCAAAGAACTGAAAATAATGAAATTAGAAAAAAAATTCTGCAGTAATTGGGTTGAAATGTAATTGTGTACTACATATTGTCCTCCCAGCTCACTTTGGTTTGCAAACAATGTGAAACAAAAGTGTCCAAGGACCACTCTTTCAGGCCGAGAGTTGATATTTAACACCAGCTAACCCAAGTTAACTTTTTGCTAGAAGAGTATGGGCAAAAGCGAGCAAATTTTTTTTGCTTAAAGAATTATTTCTGTTTTATGCTCTTCCATTTTCTATCTTGAGAGGAAGCTCCCAGCACATACATAAGGTGAATCTCCTTTCCTCATTCAGTGGCATGGTATCTCCACCCCATTTAGTGACATTTTCTTCCCAACAGCTGGTGCTGCCTTCATATTTTTCTTTGTGTTGGCAAGACAGGACATACAGACTTTGTTGACTCCCTCACCCAGAGACCTGGAGAGTGTACTGCTTCTCTCCAGGAAGGGACTCTCAGCCTAAGCTCAAATGACACAAAGACCCAGATGTTCAAAGTGCAAAATATTTGGTATTGCCTTGCCAATTTGGGGATCTCATTGATGACGTCTCTAAAGGTGTTGAGAAGTATTTTGACCTAAGAGTAACTATCCTATAGAATTAATGTCAACAGGAGTATCACATCAAAACGCAGCTTCTTTTGGAGTACTGCATACAACAGAAGAATGGGAGAATTTGTCTGGGAGGTATTATCTCTTTAATTTTACCATCTTCTGAAGCAGAGCTGTGTAAAATTCATTTTGCTAGACAGAAAAATACATTAAAACACATGGAAAAATATAGGTAAAACGCAGTATTACCAATAAACATTTCCTTTTTACTTGGAATCAAACCCAGCAAAACATATAGGTCTGAATTAATGGAGCAGTGCATGGCAGACAAATTACTACGAGTATTATTTCAGAGACTCAAAGTGGCATTTTTTCACAGTATACTGTCAGACTGCATAGATTGTATAACATCAGCTTTCTAGTAAAGATAATTTCAATTATTCTCATCTCATTGGCAGATTCTCATCTAAAACTGTATACTCAGGGTCTAAAAATGCATTGCACTGAAAAGAAAACACATCGATTATAAAAGAAGCTCAACTAAATTCAAACGTGATGTTTGGAAAGACAATAGCTTTGCAATGCTGATATCATTACTTGTAGTATACAGGAAACAGTTAGTGACATTTTCATGCACTGGCTTGATTTTTATCTTCTCCTTCTTCTTCTCTGTCCACCCTCCCACCCCTGGTGTCCCCCCTTGGCTCGTTACACAAAGCAGCTCAACGACATGACGCAATAATGATTGTTTAGCACCCAGCATGCTTTGGGAGACTAGAGCATTGCAAAGAAAAATCACTGAGAAAAAAAAAATCAAAAGATCCTGGTGGAAAAATAAATAAAAAAAGAAACAAGTGCACATAACATCAATGCCACCTCTGAGAAAAATCATCACTACACGAAGATACAGTATACATAATACAGTATAACATGCACTCTCCAATGATAAGCTAGAAGATCCAGAGTAAGTAAAGACTTCATACTTGTGCGGTTTTTTGTGCAAAATTCTGAAAGACCATGACAAAAATCACAGACTGAAAAAAGTTTTGAGATTGCCAGACAAGCCGTGGCATTCGATAACCACTCCAAGGAAGGGATCGTTAGCCTGCAGCTGTATTCACATTAAGTGAACAGGTTTAAAGTTTTGTGTTGCTCATCATGATAAAATACGAGGCCGTAGAGGCAGTTTGGAGGGAAATAAAGAGCGTTGCTTGTGAGGGGCCAGCCACGACGGTGCTCTGCAGGAAGTGCCACACTTCGATATGGTCTGTCATCATTAGCATTTTTATTGGCTACATGAAGAAGGAGAAATTATATTAACTTAAAAAGAGATTCTATTTGCAGAAAAACACATGCACTAGTAGCTCAATGTGGCCAGGTTAAATCTCTTGAGCTTTTTCTCAGAGCAGCGCAAACCACAACACTTAAAAGTCTATTTAAAAGAAACTAAGATTTTTCTTTGGGGCTGTATGTATTAAAATTAAAGGTATTTTACTCATCAGATATACTCTGAGTATGACTGAGGAGCGGTATTCACAACATTTTTATTTTCTGCTGAATGCCACTGGAAACAGGATCAAGAGCTGCGTTTGGATACCACACAGCAACCTTATTGTGCGCTTTCAGGTCATTAAGAAAAATAAGCTTCACAAAGAGAGGTAGAATGAGTCGGTAAAAAGTTTAAATCTGTGATTGTCATGTGTCTGATCTGGCCCAGGAGAGCATGGCTTTACCATTCGCAATCATTTGCACAAAGAAAACAAAGAAAGGGCAAATGATACAGTACTGTACCTCCATGGTCTGAGACTGGTGCATGGCTTTGATTGCATTCTGTGCCATTGCCCTTGTAGAAAATGTGACAAACGCACAGCCTGTGGGAACAAGGGGACAGGGAGCAGGAAAGACAAAAAACAACAAGACAAAAGGGTTGGACGCTTGTTAAACCAACACAGTCTACGAGAACGGCCACAAGACGACACTGTTCTCAGTAGTACATAAAAATAAACAACTTCTCTAGTTTATTTATCGACAGTGCTGACTTGCTAATCTGACCATAGATGAAAGAAAAAAAATTAGGTGGGGATGGGTGAGGAGAAAGGGTTTTTTCCTGTAATTTGTTCCAGGTTTTTTTTTCTTTTTTTTTTTTTTTAGCCACAGGGTATGAAATAAGTAAGGCTTTTATGTAGAGTTTGGATTGCATAGTTTAGTCTATTCAGGCCATGCATTAACAAATGCTTGCTATGGCTTTTGTGCAGGTAAATTGTGGATAGTGAGTAAGTGATTTGCATCACTGGAAGCTGAACTGGGAATTTAATAAAGGGGTCCATAATGTCACATATTTCCGTGATGCACCAAGAACAAGCATACAAATAAGGATGAGAAAAACTCCACTGCGTAGCCTGTGACTAAGTGTGAAAAGACTCAGACAAAATTCAGTAATGTAGGTGGAATCTCAACAGTTAAGAAAATAACATATTAAAAATAAAAGTCTTTATGATTTTTGTTTCTCCGAGTCCTAGGTACAAGTATAATTCTTTGATCTATGAAAGCTACCACCACCTTGAACAATTCTGAAGCTATGTGCATGAAAATCACTTTTCTCCCTCCTCAACCTTTTAAATCATAATGAAAAGCCAGTAGGCTAATGCCTGGGCTATTCTTCCACCCTTTTACTATTGTCAGTCATACCTACACTGGGCACGGTACAGGTCAACTTTTTTAGTGCATGACTCGCTGCCCTTTTGACTAATAAAAACATTGCCTTCTGAGATTTACGTTTTATTCTTCATGCACCCTTGGGCATCTTAAAGAAAAAGACTGTGAAATTAATGCAGATTCAGGCTGATTTTGTAATAATACCATAGCACACTAAAAGCTTAGCTAAAGCAACACAGACTTATTTCACTTGTGATCTCTAATGACTTTAAAAGTGCATTGATTTTCAGCTCCCTTAGCCTTGCACAGTTTGAACTTAGGTTTCAGAGAATAATTTAGTGTTCCACTCAATTTCCTCAAAACATTATTATTATTACTACTTAAAAGATTTCCAAATGAAGCAAATCCAAGCACTGAGAGGCTAAAGCATATTGTAATTTTAAGAGCTAATGCATGAAAGCTACATTCTGGCATCAAAAATACAATATTGTTGCCCCTGTGGCCAATGGGCAAAATAAACCATTTTGCAATCCAACTAGCAACAGATTGTTTGGTTTATGCAAATCAATTTGAGGCATAAAATACCTTTTCTTTTTTGCTCCACGTGTACCTGGTAAGATTATCAAGTCAAGACTGTATTCACATTTTAATCAAACAACAGTAAGAGAAAGCAATGCCTGATCATTACCCAAAAGCACTACATCTAGTCATGAAAATAAAGTCAATGCATTTTTGCATCATGCGGTATTTTCTCTTTAATGTAAAGGCCCTTGATACAAGAGAACCTAAGCTGGCTTATGTACCTTTGACTGATAAGTGAGCATGATAAAATCAGAAGTCAGAATTCTTTTACGCAAACTTCATGGCAGTGTTGTGACTCTACATATTTCTCAGGTAACATAACAGCTGATGATGTCTTACTGCTGTTTAGCCACACTACGTGTTGCTATACTATTCTTATTCAGCAACAAATTTCTGTCAAAGAAAATGATGTAACAAAACAGCTTTCTGTATGGCAATCTAGACAAAATGTGCAGTAGAAGGGTAAATAAACTACAGTACCTCCGCTACATTCCATATTGCTGCTGTGCACTAAAATTAAAGAGGCCCAAATTTACCATCAGTCTCAAAGTAATCTCTCTTAAAAGCATTTCTGTTATTATCATTAACAGAGGAAATAACACCAAGGGTTTTCGTTTATCGTCTCGCAAATTCAATGGGGGATGAGCACAAATAGAGCTGTACTGGAGGGCAGGCAAGAAACCCCATACAGAGCCTTGAATAATATTGTTTATAATGGTCAAGAAACTGCTTCATTCACTTCTTTCGCTCTCATTATCCAGGAACGTGCACCGTACTGACAATTACTGAATGGAGGTTTAGAATGCATAAGAAGCATGTAAAATGTCAACAAAAATCAATAAGACACAGTTTATGCATTTATCACAATTTCTACCCAGCAGTACTGCTGTAAGTAACTTACTGAGAGATGTTGCAATTAGCAGGTCTCAAAAGAAATGTGAATCAGCAGAGAAATAAAGCTGTGCTCCTCTCAAGATAAAGCAGACTCTCTCTTCCCTCCCTTAAGCTTTTTCTCTTTTTAACCACAAAGCTCAGCTGTTGGGGACTTTCAGTGCCCAACGCTACTGCAAAACCTCCCTCCTCGTTCATCAGCCCAAATCCATTTGCGTGGATCCCGTTGCCTTTGTCGTGGAGTGAAAAGACCTTCGTAGCAGGTTTCTGTAAAGTGCCATATAGCAAGCTACCAATTTAAAAGAAACTTGTTCTCTGGGCAAGGGGAATGCCTGATGAATGAGGTTATGTGGCTTGAATATGAGCATTTGGAAGGAGCATTCCACAGAGAAGACGGGACTGCATTTTAATTACGGTTTGCCAGCCAGAGGCTACAAGGCTAGGTCCCCTTGTTATCTCCAGTAGGCAGGCCATTTACCACCGATGGACAGTGGCCATTTGCACAGTAAATACCCAATTTGCCTCAATAACCAAGGTAAAAATTCAGTAGACAACCTTACTGCTAAATTATTTGATAACCTAGACCTTCAGTTGTTACCATCAAGCACGCCAGTTAAATGCTAGCTAATTTAACCATCTTTCCAGACATTGCTACATGTATTCACATTCAAGGGTTATTTTTTCAGCTACCAAACCTGGACACTCACACACAAAATTTATATATTTATTACGTGTGCACATATATTTTGTTACGGGTGAACCATGGGATCCTTTCCTTTATGACCAGACTGCCACACTGGAGAGGAATTAAGGCTGTATCATAGGATTCTGTCCACTTAACTCATCACTGAACTTGCATATATAATTTAGGTATTCAGAAAAGCTGTTCTTCTGAGATGCTTGTATTCTCTGCTACAGTCAATGGCAGAACCTTTATTTTTCTATATGGGGTACATATGCACTTTAGGAGGATGGTTTCGTTGGTCACCTAGAATTTAATCAGAAGTTGTTGTCTAAGGACATTGGATTTCACTTGTTTAAGCCAGATGAGCTCTGCGTGAACCATCCTGTACTCTTGCCGCAGCAGTTTCTGAGGGGTTGGAAAAACCCTTTCCAGCATACTCTCACTCTCTGTATCTCATGGATACAGGTGGTCTTTTGGGAACATACTGCCAGCTTTAGGACCGTAAATCACAATTAGAGAGGACAAGACTAATCAGATTTCATGCCTCATGGTGCAAGGAAACAAGAAAGATTTCCATGGCCTCTTACCCCATCCTATGAAACACTGCATTGATTGTAGCACTGTGGGCTGAGGTCTTCCGGACCAACAGCTACAAGCAAATTATTTCTGTTCTACCATACTGAGTCCTGATACTCAATTACTCCCTTCTTACTAGAGCTATGGAGCTCTCCGGGAGAGAAAACATGGAAATGGGGATATTTCTACAGCTAATGCCTTGAAATTACTTCATTTTGTACCACCAGGTACCTAACCACAAAAAAAAAAAAAAAAAAAAAAATTCTTTTGTAAATATGGCCAACCTGCAAGTCACCTTGCCATTATTTAACACCTCTGGTTTCACAATGTCAGGGATCACTAACAGAAACAGAAGGGCAGGGAGAAAGGAGGTCTAAGAGTTTTAGGTGCTTCTCCAAGGCTGCCTTCTCACCCCCTACACCAGATAAATGATTGACTGGGGAAAGGCTTCTCAAAGTAATTTCCTCCTGCAGGCAGAATCAGAGGGAGGCACCCAGCCCTGTCACAGTGGAGATTTTGGAGCACATTATCGCATTTGCCATCTCAGCTGAGAGAACATCTAAACTCACAGGGTTGGTCCTTGCCCCCCTCCCACCCCAAACTGAAAAAGAATTTTGAAGAGGCTGCAAAATCAGAAAAGCTTCCTCCTTGAACCATGCCGTCCCAAACCTAGGGCTCGCTGTTTGAGCAACTGAATTATTTGAAATATTTAGAAAAGCTCAGCACTGCCCCGTTTCAGCTCCCGCTTCACTCGATTCTTCTCATCTCAGGCTTTCACAGACTGTTTTGAAACATTCAGTCAGCAGTTCACGCGCAGTCTGACATAACATCAATACTTGCGAGCTGCAAGTGAAGTAGAACATTTTTAAGTATGGAGGCCTCAAGGTATGGGGTCTGATTTCATACCTACACAGGAAACCTCCCACACAAAACTACTGTGGTCTACCAGAGGTTTTAAAGCCCCCAAACCCTCAATGAAGCCAAAGGGAGATGCAAAACCTTTTTGAATCAGGCCTAGAGTTAAAAATGGAAGTTTAAAAACCATGGCTTTAAAGTTCTGGAGATGAAAGAAAGGCAGATGTAATCAATTTAAAAAAAAAAATAGTGACCCCTCTGACACAGAAGCGGGCTCAAGAGATTTTCAAAGGCGTCTGAGCAATCGCAGTACTACGTATGGCGGCTGCGGAGCTCGTGGTGTAATGGCTGCACTACAGCTTCCTAGTTCACCGTAAACAAAGTTTTTCTTCACTTTCTGTGAAGAAACAATAGTGAAAAGCTGCCAAAATACTCCTTCAAGAAGTATTTGGGATCCTCTGAGATGAAAGCCTCTATTTAAAGAAAAGATAAGGCTCGAATAAAAAGCTATGGAAATTGAAGCGTGATAAAAATAAGCTCTAGTGTGTTAAAATATTTCTGGCTGAGATTGCAAAGTTGACTCTCCCTTTTCTACACTGTGCTAATATAGCGCAGTCTGAAGGAAGG